GAGGAGGTCCATCGCGACCATATGTACCACCCATGTCGAAATGGTGCGCGGGGAGAAAACACCAGCAGTAGTCAAGATCAACCGCAATTAACACCTTTCGGGCAGAGATTTGGTATGTTGCTTCATGAGTTATGTCTTCAGCTCAAGGAAATGCTGTTGAAATCGCAAATTTTTGGGGGGAGGGGAACATGGTGGCAAACTAATGACTGAGCATTATTCTCCCTTCCATTACAGTTTTCATTCTTATTGGCAATGTATCTGGCAACATCTGGATTTTGAGCCGCGCGTAGCCTCTGTCGTAAATAACGAATGTGAAATATCCCGTTTAGGCTACTTGTGAATTGGTTCCATTGTTTTTTTTTTTCGAAAAAAGCTCTCTGAAATAGTCACGATCAGAAGTACCGTAGCTAAAATGATCACAGCATACGCAGCGAAAGGGCAACCAGCTAATGGCGTGCGTAAAATAGATTTGAAAAAAAATTGTCACTGTTTTGCATTAGCTCCTCCCAGCAGTTCAGTTGATGAAGGACTTCTACTTTTATTTGGTCCTGTCGTGGTGAATGCTCCGGTCGCATATTCCTCAATCATATAAGTGTATTGTTGAAATTGTTTGTAAGTGTTTGCATTATAGCAAATCGAGGCCGTGGTGGTTCGCAAGCACCAGCTCGGGGAGGTGGCGTTTCTGGAACGGCTTTCAATTCTCGAGCACAGGGTTTGTATGACCCTCGTGACCCGAAAGGTTTGCACTTCTTCAAGTACTTTAGTTATTATTCACTATTATCCAATTATTTAGGTGGGAACTTTTGGCCGCACTCATAGTTTCATGGAACTGCTCCGATCGCACTAGCGAGTGTGAAGTAGATGCGTATTGACCGTGCGGTCGCACGAGGAGTGTGCGATTGCACGATCGTTAGTCGGTTGCCGATCCTAACGATCGTAACGGTAACACAGCGTTGGGTGCGTATCGACGTGAGGCCTGCCTGAGTATTCGTCGATCGATACGAATCTAACCTGTGCGACCATTACGGTCGTTGCGATAGGGCGACCGACTATACATGTGCTCATACGCATCTACCTCGACTTGGTTGTGGTCATCTAAATTACAAATACGGCTTGGAGTGTTTTGGTTAGCTGGGGCTTTTTTGATGGTACCCTATGATTAGGCGTGGTTAAACTTTTTCTTGAGGAAAAATTCTGGAATGCTACAATTTACTGTTTCATGTTTCTAATGATGCTTATGATCCCATTCACAATGATTGCGTAACGACCCAACTAATGAACCTCTGTTCTTACTCCTGTCAGTGACGTATAGGTTGGCATTAAATATTACATCGTCTTAGTCCTCGCAATCGCTTACGCTCTACAAGTGACGAAGGCGATGTAGCTGGAGAAGGCGGTGGGTGGACAACCGCTGGTGTTGGTAAACATGGCTGGACTCAAAACAGGGAATGGTGGGCAGCAAAATGCGTGGAATCGTGAGCAAGGTGAGTGGTGTATCCGAGTAAACAGGCAATATCGGCTAACAGTTTGGACGTGTTAAACTTTAAGTGCATCAAATGACGTGTTATTGATGGCACTGTTCAATGCTCTCCGCTCACCTCTTTTGATCTCATTTCGTCACGAGAATCAGGTCCCGTTAGAGATAGTCCTTTCTATTTCCTAAGTTGCTCTGACTTTACAACGAACAATGGCGAACTGCTTCTGCGTCGGAATTTTAGTTAGCAGTAGACCTACTCATTGTGACCCAGGAGGTACCTAAAATCGGAGAGCCAGAAATGTTGTTATTGTAATTACCGCGTTGAGTTTTCTCCTGACGCCAACAAGTACATTGCCGTTACCGTGCCCTCCTCTTTCACTGTTTTTTCAAGTTACTTTTATGCTTCATGTCAATAGTATTTGGTTCCCAAATGCAGTTTCGTTTACACATTTCCATGATTGATTGGCATAGCCAAAGCTTTTTTTACGAGCGCCGTCTTTCTAGGAGGGCATAGCTCATCGGCCAACGATACGGAGGATTCACGTAGAAAGAGCGATGGTTCTATGCCTGAATGGATGGAAGATGGAGAAGATCAAGATAAAGAGTTCGTCATGTTGATTTTTCTTCACTGCCTTCACGTCAGAAATTGAAATCTCATATTGCAAATAGCTTTTTACAGTGTTGTTCCTTGTTTCAGGGAATCTGGTGATGAAGCAACCAGTGCAACGGGTTCATTTGATGAACATGGCACGATAAATCCGCGAAGACAGGTTGTTCGAACCGAACAGCATTGGCTATGGTTTCTAAATTATCTTGCGATTATAATCATTCTAGTACAACTGCCTCAATTGTGAGCGCTTACTAGTATAGTTACTCGATGAAAAAAAAATTGATGCGCGAACATAAATAACTCTTCGTGATTCAATTTTACGCGGGAGCTATTGGGTGCTTATGGTTAAAATGATGAAAATGAAGTGTTTCCGAAATTCTTCTAAAAATTGTTTTCCAGCATAACGTTCCCGCTGAATCAACGCAAGCAAGAAAAACAGCTGACGTCACTGAAAACAAGTTAGTTTTATAGCGAAAAAAGCTCAGTTTTTCATAAACGTTATCAATGCTTCTGCTTCGAGCAAGTGCTTTTGAGAGATATTCGCTATGCCTGATATCTTTGCGAACTCGTCGATCCAATGGCTTGAGAGCAGTTCAGACTTTCTCGGTGTGAACCTATCTTATTTGACACAGACGTGGTTTAGTCAGTTAAACCTTGGACCGAGCATGCGGAGTTCAAAATGCACATAGACCATTGAGCCGAGCGAGCTTCAGCAATTCTGAAACAATTGAGCAGTGAGACTCTCGGTGGGCCCAAGTGCATTTTAGGATGCTTCACGCTGCAATGCTCATGGCGGGCCAAAGAAGTCACCACACATAGGCAGTGCAAATGTAGTGTAGCGGTCATCCGATTCATGCATTTTGTTGCATCTTTGTGATTTTTCGAACAAGTTTTGAGGAATTCTCGGGCTACGACGAGCTTTTCAGTGCTTTCATTTACTGAAACTAATAAGCCAGGATACATAGCGTACCATGAAATTCCAAATGCTTTTGGATCTTTGGGAACAACGAACTTGCCGAATCATTAGAAGACATACAAAGCAGGAAATTCTCTACCATTGAAAAAACATGTCCGGCATTGAAGCATCATTTACTATTGTGCGACGAAATACTGAAGTTCCAGGAGAGGCGAACAATTAAATTTATTAAGTTTTTCTTTGTGAATCATTAGATTCCCATCAAGATATGTTCCTTATCATCATAATTATTTATCTCCCTTATCAACATAATTATTCAATTATTTCCCTTTTCATCATAACTATTTAATTATCTGGTTAAGGTATGAAAGACAAAAGTCAACAAATAATGAAAACCAGAGCACCGAGAAGACCGCTCCACCTCTGCAGGTATGAGTTGTATACTTATTTGTTTCACAGATGTCTAGCAGCAGTCGCATAGTGTCTCCATTCGGATTGTGCCGAAAACGTCTCGTTTATGAAGACGCAGTAGTTTCAGACGCCTCGTGATACCAATCCTCCATCAGGAGACGTAAATGTTTCAAATACCGAAACCGACGGTTCACGAAGTTACATGGCTATGCGGCCGCAAGCTGAACAACTTGGATATCATTCCGCTGTGCCTTCGCAACATCCAGGTGTTGGTGCTGGACCTGTACCCAGTGCTCCCCCACCAATGATTCATCCACCTACTCCTCAGTTCTTCTACTTGGATCCAACCAAGCAAGAGCGCGGTCCTTTCGAGAAGGTCGGTTTTTCATCTTGTTTGTGTCTTTATGGTTAGATGATTATATCTAAATTTCAGCTTCAAATGGACAGCTGGTATAAACGTGGTTATTTCACGGAAGGATTGGAAGTTAGGCGTCATACTGAGACAAAGTACAGAACGTTAGGTAAAATTGTGATCTGCTTCTTCCAGAATTCTGGGCATATTTGTAGATTCTCATTTGTAGCAATCTACAGATCTTTTCATTTGTAGCAAATCTAAAATTTAGGCGAATTGATGCAGTTGAATGGACGAATGACGCCGTTCGACTATAAAGATGATGTAGCTTCTCACCCACCGGTGACAATGTTTTCGAATCCATCCCAACCGTACCCACCCCTCTTCGCGTATGTGTTTGTTTCAACATTTTTCGGAAAAATATATGAAAATATTATTCCAGAAGTGGAGGAATGTGGAGCGACCTAGGCGCCCCTGCAAATATGATGTACAGTCAAGCGGGCTATGATCCTATTGCTGCCGAAAGAAAGGTTACACTGCTTAGTAAATGATTCATTCGTTCGCATTTCTTACGTTGCCTTTACAGCGAATCGAGGAAGAGCAACGACGGATACTAGAGGAACAAGCCAAAATGAGAGAATACCAGGAACATCTTGTGCGGGAATTACAGAAGCAGAGGGAAGAACATGAGAAACAGTTAATGGAGCAAAAACTTGCGCTTCTCAAGCATCAGGTTAGTTTTCACCCTTTTTCGATTTGTCCGTTTTCTTTCTTAGATAATGATGGCATTCTGTAAATATGCTGGGGATATTTCTCATAATCTACGGTCAGTATACATTTGGTTCGAATTTTCTGAAGCGGGTGTGCGGGGGGGGGGGGGGGGGGGGGGGGGGGGGGGGGGGGGGGGGGGGGGGGGGGGGGGGGGGGGGGGGGGGGGGGGGGGGGGGGGGGGGGCGTGCTGTTTGCAGACCATACAGCGTATAATGGCGTTTCGTTTGTTATAGTGCCATTTTAGTTGACAGAGGGCCCACAGTAAATTCTTGGTACATTTGCGTCAAGCTGATCGAGCTGGGTGGGGTTGTATGTTAGGCTGCGCGGTCAGTCATTCTGCGTAAGTCTCGCTATTCGCGCGAATCGCGGGCGGATCACAAATCACCAGGCCCCCCGATCAATACAGCGAGCTACTTTCCAATTCCGAAGCCATTTCTGCTTGATGATGATGGTCGGGTGACGGCTGCTCATTATTCTACTTGTTTCATATTCAGTGTTCAAAGACGAATTGTGCACTCTGACACCAGCCTTAGTGTTTTTGCTTGGTTAATTGGTACATGACTTCCCTCTGACAGAAATGCTTATTACTATATCGGCTCGACTCCGCAGAATTTTGTGTAGATCAAATGGGATTCAAAAGCTACTCCTCAATCTGAATGAAAGTAGACTGCATATTACATCCCAGAAATGGTTTGGTCACCGGTGAATGTTTATTTGTAGGATGGAAAGAGTACGAGTAGCCATGTAACTTATGAGCCTCGTAAATACAGTAAGAAGGAGACAGGTTCCATTATCGTTTAAGCCTTCCTACACTACCCCCTGTTTAAGGAGGAAATTGAACGACGAGAACGTGAGCTGAAAGAGTCAGCTGAAGAAACGAAAGCCCGACTAGAGATGGAAAGGCTTGCGCTTGCTGAGAAGGCTCGCCAGATTGAAGAGGAACGATTGGCCAAAATCGAGGTATTTTTAAGTCCTCATGATATTCTTGAAATTCTATGAACTCGAGTCGAGTTTTGTATAACCATTGGTCGTATGGTTTGCATAGAATTCTGTTTCTTAAACTTCCCTTTTCGATCGCATTTTATTGAAGGAAGAAGTTAGAAAAGCTGAAGAAAAACGAGCCGAGGAAGCAGAGCGGAAACGTTTGGAAGAGGAACTTGAGAGACAGCGGATAGCAGAAAAAGAACAACTAAAGAAACAACAGGAGGCAGAGCGAGAAAGGTTTTTTTGTTTCTTAATCCTTCAGCAAGATATGTTGAGTGCTCTCGTTGGGGACCCCTTTAATGAAGGAGCAGAACAAACGGTCTCTGAGTAATTTTAATTTTTATTGAATTTTTTTAGGCGTGCCAAAGAAGCTGCTGAAGAGGAAGCTCGGCGTGCCCGTGCAGCTGCAGAAGCTGCTGCGGCTGCTGAGAAAGCACGTATTCAACAACAAGCAGAAGCGCAGCGAAAACAGGTCAGTGATGTGTTCCCTTCTTTGATGTGTTTGTTTTTTTTTCTTTCACAACAACGCTGGGATTAGATGTCTGGGATCTTTGCGCGCTGATCCTAAGCTTAGAACCATAAAGTGGGAAAAGTACTTCCGTCATTGGCTGCGACTGAGTAAGACCAATAGCGTGGAAGATTTCCTGTCCGATAAAAATTCTCCCAACACTTCTGTCATGACGAAAGATGCGCGCTGATTTTGGCAGTGATTACAAATGAATCTCCATATATTAGAGGGTGTATTATGCACAGTCCATACTTCGGCTTCTGAGTAGGCGTGTTTAGACAGTTGAAGTTGCGGCCTCCGCATTTGATAGAAGTCGCTTTCCAGAGAAGTACTTGCAAACATCTCACCACGCGACTTCCATCAAGTGCGGCGGCCGCTACGTCAGGTCCGTAAACACGCCTAATCCGACGGCGAGATATGTATTGTACAGTCAATATCCGAAAGTTGGGGTAGGTGTGTTACCGGAAGTGACGTGCACTTGATAGGTAATCAGAGCAGAATTCCTCCTCCGAAGACCAACACACGATAACAGGTCCCAGTCCCTTGAATTGGTGCCTTGCCTCTAACCAAATGCCCACTACATGATTACTACAGTATTGGAACTCTTTGAAGTTATATACTCGATATCGGTGAGTTGGGGTGGGCGTGTCACCGGAAGTGACGTGCGCTTGATAGAAACTATGTGGATAAGCTGCTTCCAACACACATCGCTGGCTATCAGCAAAGCATGCTGGCAACAGCTTATCCACGCACTTCT